GTATTATTATTATAAGCCGCCATCTAGGGTAATCCCTGTACCTTGTTCCAAAAAAGTTTGCATTAAATGAACAAATAGATCCTTATTACAAATACATATGTATCTTACAGAGGGTGGTACACCATCTAGATCAACCTGGGATGATGAGGATGATGCGTCACTACGAAAAACACCATCAACATGGGATATGCCATCTCCGTCTGGTTCAGTTCGAGAGCATGACAGAAGTTATAGATCTAATAGAAGTTCTGAAAGGAGCAGGTAAAGTTCAAGGTTCAAGTGCACTGATTGGTTCATCATTCAATTTTTCATGTGACCAAACGAATAAATAAATGATTGAAACCTTTTTGTAAATTGAACAGACAAGATTGACTGAACAAAGAAATCTTTGGTGAATAAAACATTTGATGACAGTCTGAGAGATTATAAAATAAAAAAATCAGAATCCAGTTTGAACTAGGCCACAATTTTTATCAAATTTCATTGAATGAAAAAATGAAATCTTTGTGGTAACTTTATAGTATTGTGAATTGTACTACTGTAATATTCGTTTTCAGACTGACGGTGATGTGGTTATGAAAAAAACTTACTACACCCAGCGTACATTGCATGTACATTGCACTTTCTTAATAAGATCTCGACAGCCATTTGCATGCGTGGTCTATTTCATTTCAACACTTATTACTGTAGAATATATTATTTTTACATAATGCAACTTAATATTTTTTACTCTGCTATAACAGGATTTTAATGTGCTTATTTAGTAGGTCAAAAAGAAGGTCTGAAAATACACCATTACCTACGCCATCATATAAATACAACCAGTGGGCTACTAATAGAAAGCGATCAGGAGCAACTCCACGGTACTCTGAAGGTAAACATCATTCTACTAGCATTCTACTCTACTGATTATGTATGGACTTTTCAATCACTGTTATTAATTGAAAGTTTCTCCTCTCGATTTAGTTCTTTGATCAGACTGCCGTTCGCTTTATGAAATAATGAACTGTGCACTGTCCCTTATTCCTAAATAGTTTCACTATAGAAACTAATGCAAATTTGTCCAAGATATTTCAAAATCTTTTTACTCGAAAAATTGTTTGGTACAAAAACATTAGAAGAATGAAAAGATATCATTTGAGAACTCATTTAAAATTTTCTTGTAGGTGAAAAAGGAGCTAAAGTTGAAACAGAGGAAGATAAAGAAGCTTGGGAAGATGAACAAAAAGTATTCAATCTACTACAAATCTGTATTTGTATATGTTCACTGTTCACTCATTGGTTGTAATCTTTGGCAATGAAAGTTGGAATATTTTGCATAATTTATTTTTCTCACACTTAGAAACTAGACAGGCAGTGGTATGGCATGGATGAAGGCTATGATGATCAGAACAACCCATTTGCCTCTATGTCCAATGAATATACAAAGAAGAAAGAAGAAGAATTCCAAAAACAAGTAGTCAAAAGGATATCAGCTCAGCAGAGGCAGATTAATAAGGTATATTTTTAATTTCACTGATATTCTGATGATTTTGTTATGTTAAAACTTGAGAGCTGATAATTCATTAATTAATTTGTTATATGTATATCGTACTCAACCAATGTATGTGTAGCTCAGTGACCTCAACTCACAAATTCATGCTTTTTAAGGGTTGGGTGCTTAGTTGAAACGGGTGCTCGACTGAGCACCCAATTCATCAAAAGAACAATTTTTGTTCATCATGTGCAGATGTCATTTTTGTATATACCAGTAAATATTAGTGTTGTGTTGGGTAGTTTATATTTTACACCAAAACTCCAATCTTTTCAACCTTTCTAGGATAATGATAGATGGGAGATGAATCGTATGTTAACCAGCGGTGTTGTGCAGCGAGTAGACGAAGAAGCAGAGATGGAAGAAGATAATGTTGCTAGGATACATTTACTTGTCCATAATATTGTACCGCCATTTTTAGATGGGAGAATTGTATTCACCAAACAACCTGAACCTGTCATCCCCATCAAGGTAATGGTTTCTTCTAACTCTAACTATTAAGTGTGTGTGTTTACATTGCAGTAAATGTTTATGAAATATGATGCAAATGGATTCCGAGATCTTATTAAAAACAAGAAAACCATGACTTGTGTTTGCCAGTCATTGGTAACATAGATGCAATGAACGAAGTGAATAGACCTATTTGAGGGGCAAATCTTGTGACTCTTGCTTGTGTAGTTTTTTCAGAGTCTGTCAGTGCTGTTCATTTCATGAAGACTTCTATTCTCTAATTTTAGTGAATATTTTTGGGAGAAAAATGCTATTCTATACATCTTCTTGAAAAGTACCATCCCAATTGCTTTGATATTGTGACAGAAATCAGATTCTTGGCCGTTTATCTTGTTCTCTGTTTTTAATCGCATGGTTACTAAACTGCTTGGTATACAATTGGCAAATAGTAGCGCTCTCGTATCAAGATAAATAATAGTGATCCTGAAGTCGATAGACAATGATTCACACAATTACACACAAACAAACAATATGAAACAAACGCTGAATCAGTTTATCACAATAGAATACAGTTTGAATAGTTTATTGGTATAAGAACTCAAAAATAATGAATAATAACTATTGGTATGGTGCAACTCTAGGAAACATCATAGGTGTCAACTTTCAACTTTGAATCTCTTCAGCGCAAGGCATTATATAACTTCAGTCAGCGTCTACTTACGAGCGATAATGCTTTAATTCGTACTTGTGTCAACTCTGACAGTTTTTTCTTATCCAAATTTTGGACTAATCTTAGACGTTGTATTTATTAGTGTTCGTGTTTGTTATGTATTTAATATGGGACTTTTTTGGCCTGAAATAAAGGATTAATAATAATAATAATTTATTCAGACAGCAGTCTGTGATGTCAGCCTATTCTGTATTTGGAGATACATGTATACAAGATATATGCTTAGATTACTGTCTCAATCTATGTCAATACTGATTCCTTGTCTTATTAACCCATGTCAGTTGTAGGAGCTTTGTTTCCTTTGCACACTGGTGATCTTCACCAGGTCTAGTAATTACTACTCTTTGTTGTAATGCAGACTCTGGATAATTCTATATAGACTTTAGCAATTATCCCACAATAGTAACTAGTGATACTAGCGAGACTACTAATTAAACCAGTATTGATTATGCAACTATGTTGTTAATACACACTCAGCGGTAATTTGAATACTGTAAAATACTTTATTTTCGCTTGGAATTAATTTTAGCTATTTTCGCTGAAGTAATGATTCAGTGAAAATAAAATCCAGCGAATATACCGTTTTTCCTATATTTTACATTAAACTTGTCAAAAAACAGTGGAAATAAATTCCATACAAAACACCCAAAATGTCTTTTCAGCGAAAATTAAATCCAGCTAAAATAAAGTATTGTACAGTATTCACTTAATTACAACCCACAATTAAGTTACCTGTTTTGAGAAACAGACAATACGCCTGCATGACATGTAGCTTCTAGTGGTTGTAACAAATGTAGCCAGTCTAGTTTGTCTTGACCTCATCATTTCTAGAACTTGTACTTCATACATGCTGTACAGAATCAGTCTCTGCATCAAAGAAAAGTTTTACTAGTACATCTTGGTGTTGCAGTCTTGTTTTACATGTAGTTCTGAAGCTAAATTTACTAGCGACTCACAATTAACCCTGCATATGAACTTGATGCTAGTCTAACTTGCAATTGACTAATTGATTATGTTAAACTTATTGTCTTGTAAATTTATTATGACTGACAGCTGAATTATGTGATTCCGCCAGTTCAGTGACTTGACTAACATTCTAACCCTGCACCTGATCTTGGCACAGGAACCATAACAAGACCTCTCCACCTATTAAATCTAATGTCATAATTAACACATCACATACCAAAACATAACAAGAACTGCAGCCTATTAATTTACATTTTTGCCGCAATATTTTATAAGTTTGTACATTATTACGGAAGATGTTGACAGTAGTGCTCTGTTTGTTGAACATAATATTAATTGTATCTTTTCAATTCTGATTACAGGATGGCACATCAGACATGGCTATAATATCACGTAAAGGCAGTATAGTTGTCAGACAGCACAGAGAACAGAAAGAAAGAAGAAAAGCACAACATAAACACTGGGAGCTTGCTGGTACTAAACTTGGAGATATTATGGGTATAAAAGAAACTGATGAAAAAGTATGTTTATGATAGTTTATCTATAAATCCAATAACTACATGGAACATACTGTATATCTAACTCTGTACTTTATCAAAATCCATTCACTTAATGTATGTGTATCTTACACATGATGTATATGTCGCCATGGTTTCTTATCAAATATGACGCATTATGACAATAACCGCTCTTTTAGTGGGAAAAACAATTCTTCGAAAATGTGTGATTGTCCGAAACCAGTAGCATACATGTCAAAATTTAAAGCAAGAGAGTCATCACCTGTGCACGCACAAGAATTGAGTTCCAAGCGATGATAACAACACACACTAAAAATGCAAAGGCTCATGGGTAGACACTTGTTTGCATACAATGACAGGCTATGGCGACCTGATGCATGCGTAGGTGACAACTCCCCTGCTTTAAATCCAAAAAGTATAAAGATGAAATGTTTTTTGTTGATACTTTCTGAGATAATAATATATCCTGTAACTCTGAAACTGTTATGTATTCACCAGGATACTAACAAGGAGGGCGATGTGGATTACAAGTCCCAGCAACAGTTTGCTGACCATATGAAAAACAAGACGGAGGCCACAAGTGACTTTGCAAGGGATAAAAGTTTGAGAGAGCAGAGGCAGTATTTGCCCATATTTGCTGTCAAAGCTAAATTGAGCAGTGTGATACGAGATAATAATGTGGTTGTCATTGTTGGTGAGACAGGATCTGGTAAAACTACTCAGTTGACCCAGGTAAGATCTGCTGTTCTCTTCAGCACATACATATATGTATAACCAAATGGTCAGGCTCTTCCTGCAGCAATTGCGTAATAGTCAACATGCTTAGAATAGTTATAGCAATGTAAAAATATGAAAACCTCATGAAGGCCATCAAGTTATGGAAATCATGTACATTTCTAGCAACAAAATGTGATGGTTTGTACAATTTTACTTCAGTGTCACCAAACTTCACAAATTGCACATTATTATTCTTTTTCACTTGCACTGAATGATGAACATTTTCCCGAAACAAAATATATTTTAACCTAATTTGTTCCCAACTATAAAATATATTGGGAGATTTGTAAAAAAAAAAAAAAAGCATGTGTGGAGTAAAAATTACAATGGAAGAGTTTCTTTTATTTACAGTACTTGCATGAAGAAGGTTTCAGTAAGTATGGAATGATTGGTTGTACGCAACCACGTCGTGTTGCGGCCATGTCAGTAGCAAAACGTGTCAGTGAAGAGATGGATGTTAGCTTGGGAGAAGAGGTTGGTTATGCAATTCGGTTTGAAGATGTCACTTCAAAGGTTGGTTTAATACATGCTGCATTATAAACTCCTTCTAATTTAACAAACATTTGTTTTTATTCAAGTTTTTTATCTTCTTTAGTCATTTCTTTGTTGTCCGGAACTTAAACACTATGGCCTCTAGACTTCTGAAACTACTCCAGCAGATTGGGAACTTTAAGAACTGTTGTGCTTATGATTGATTGACTGGTTTGGCAGCTATTATGAATTAAATTCAAATAGACAGTAGCCATTTGGCACCTTTCTGAGGGTCATTATGAATATTTTGTAGTAGCATATTGATATATGGTCTACCTATTTCACAAACGTTAGTGGACACATGACTTTTTCCCGTCATGTTTTTTTACCATTTTTGACATCCATCTCTTGAAGATATTCATATTGAAATTTGCTATGTGCATCTTTATACCAAACTTCTTCCGACAGAAAACAAATAAATTGGATCAGTCATGTGATTTCGTCGCAATTATGAATTTCTGAAAAAATAACCACAGATTGGAGCATTTGTGTCTCATGAATGCTTTAACTGATCGATTTGCTCTGTTTGATGTAGCTTCTTCTTCTAAGAAAAAAAAGACATATATACATGTATCAGTGGGTACATATCTGTTTTCAAACTTGGACCCGACAAAGCTGCTCTGCAGCTTTAATATTAATTGTTAAGTTTTGATTCTGTATTTTGATTGGTCTGTACTGTTGTAATAACTTGCAGAGAACAATAATTAAATACATGACAGATGGTATCTTGTTGAGGGAGTCTCTAAGTGAACCTGATTTGGATAACTACAGCGCTATTATTATGGATGAAGCCCATGAACGGTCACTCAATACTGATGTACTATTTGGACTGCTGAGAGATGTAAGTTGTCAGGCTGTCAAGACTTCAATATGTACTTTTTAATCTTGCCTTTACAGGGCACTATAACAATAAAAACTTGCCTCTAGGGCATTATTGTGATATATTGTTTTGATCCATGTACAACAAATGCATATCTTTGTTAGTCTCAATTGTGTCTAATTTAGACAAGGTTTCACTGCATCTATTGGTTCAATAGTTACGATATGTAACAACACTGATCACTTTGTAGGTTGTTGCCAGAAGACAAGATCTGAAACTGATTGTCACTTCAGCTACCATGGATGCTTCTAAGTTTGCAAGATTCTTTGGCAA